AAGTAGAGCAACATCCTCACTAGGTTCTTTCTGAAAATTGCGTCATGTTGTACGTGTGAAGATGTTGGGTTCTTAGAGTTCTTTTCGGAACTATTTACCCTTTACTGCCCCATTCCTCAAGAACTGAGCCGGATTTTGATCGAAATTCGTCCATGACTGTGGATTTCGCTAGAAACTTGTCTTCAGAGGTATTTGACCCGTAGAATATGATTATCACATCAGTTTGTTACGAGTGAACCTGTAGCCTGCGCTACGAGCGCCCGCGCAAAACTGTTGTGATAGCGCCGGCGCCTGTGGCGCGGGCGCCAAGCGTTTTCGCTCTAAACCGGTATTATATTCGTGATCTACGGGTCAAATTACCCCTGAAGGCAAGTTTCTAGCCAAATCCACAGTCATGGACGAATTTCGATCAAAATCCGGCTCAGTTCTTGAGGAGTGGGGCAGTAAAGGGTAAATAGTGCCGAAAAGAACTCTAAGAACCCAACATCTTCACACGTACAACATGACGCAATTTTCAGAAAGAACCTAGTGAGGATGTTGCTCTACTTTTTCTTCCTTATTGAGTGCTTGCTCTAGCCAAACACCGCTAACTTTTCGGACACTTCACTCCCGTTTATCCTTCCCCATCTCAAGGAAGGCATACGGACAGCCCGCCTCCTCTGCTTCTTCCTCCAAGAACACTCATTTCATAATATACATCTGCAGCTCGCTTCGATGGGACCGACCGGTGATACTACATGCTGACGAACACTTAATTCGCAATTCTTCCGAGGAGATCATATAACTGAGTACATTTTCCGAGTTACGAAGTTTACCACGCGAGCGGTCCGGGGATCAAATCCTGGGTCGTGAGTCGCCCGGGCCAACCAAGCCTTCCATCCCTCCGGGGTCGGTTAATTGGTACCAGACTTGTCTGGGAGGATAAAAACACTGACTTGTACATCGGCTGGCCCCCGCAAGTCATTGTATAGGCCACATCGCATTCAAACGCCACTACGAATGTACAAATGGAAGTAGAATGCGTGCCGCATCCCAAAAAGGGATTGATCAACGGCAAATGCTTTATCCTTTATCCTTATACAGTCCCGAAAGTGTTCTTTTCTCTTGTGCGAATTTATTAAAATCTGAAAGCTTGTACACGCTAGAGCGGTATCCAACACCAAAAGGGCCAATGGCCTTGCTGCGCTGCTGCGACCGCTGCCATTCTACTCACTTGCTACGTTCTCGGCGTTTCGGTCATCTCGTGCGACGTGCTCTTCCAAGTGTTTCTTACCGAGCTATGGATTCCGAAATGGCGACAGCGACCCATGGTCGCATGACGGTCGACCCCACCAGAAAAAAGAGCATTTTCTATGATCGCTTTTTTCATCTTTCCCTTTTTTCTCTCACTAAGGTTCTATTCCTAGATCCTGTTTCATTTTTGACGGAAATAATCGCAGAGTGTGATCGCGAGTTGTGACTTCAACTTTTTGCCGTGTCGGTTCGCAGAAGATGGATTGCGACTACTCACCGAGCCAGTTCCAATATGTTTTTTATTCTACCAGGTTTCCTCGCAAGCAGGTTAGAATTGGAATGCGATCACCTCGAGCACTGGACTAACCACGTGATAAAAGTCCTTGAACTTCGATGTGTAGTTCACTTTTCTTCTACAACTTTTGAAAAAAAGCTGCATCAATCGCAAGAGGTAGAAATTGTCCTGGTATTTTTTGGTGATTGGTGTACCAGTGACGGGACAGGGCAAAAAAAATCCTGGATTCGCCAAAATCAAATGCGCGCTGACCCTGTGAGCGGGATTCACGCCATGCTCCTGCACGTATCTGACTGGTTGGCTTAGCTTTGCCCTTGATTGCCCTTGATCTAATAACGTATACTAGTGTTTCGTAAAAAGAAGGAACAAACCAAGTGAACCACGTTCATACTTAGCCTCCACATTAGACTCTCAAGAATCTCGACATCATATTTCCAGTATAGATGTCAGAGTAATTCAGCTTGTAACCAAGATGTGCCCAGCTTGTAAGACGCTGACGTGATTAGCGTACAATGTAATTTTAAGACTCTTGGCAGTTTTTTGATCTTTTTCATTTTGTTGGAAAAATCACCACAGAAACTTTCATTCCACCAACAGTGTCTTATACCTATTCAATCGCAGAGTTTGCCTTTAGCAGCACCGAGGAATAAGTTTAAAAGAAAAAAAAATGAAAATTAAAATTCTGTAGGACATTGAATGGGCAGTAGTTGCAACTCGAGGACGGGAAGCTTGGCCTAGAGATTTGCATCTTTTGAAAAACCATAGCTAGGTTTTCAATACACGCTGAACTCCGAACTCTTACCCTTGAAAGGATAAAAAGGATAGCACTTGGCATTGCTCTTTTTTAATGCGCCACCTATAATGCCTACATACATTTCGAGTCGTAGTGGAAATGAAATGCGCTTTGCAATTTCGATAAGTTTCTAGGAGCAGGAGGTATGCAAATGAATGTTTCATTCAAAACAAAGATGGGTATGTTTTAAGAATTATCCGAATTTTGGGGATGGAACGCTTGGATAGTCTAAGGAGGGCTCAATGGGTAGTTCCATTCCATTTTAAGCAATGCCTTTTGTCGCACACCAACTACCGAACGCATAACCGTTACTGTAGCGCTGGGACTCGTTCTTTGCCTTATCTGCGTCTCTTCCTTCGCCGTGCGACGGGCCTCTTGGGGGACACCGTAAGCCATGAGGCCACGAAACGCTTCACGTAACCAAGTGACAGTCATACCTGGCAAACTTATTGGATTTGAACGGGAGCAGGAAGACCTCTGCTTCACCGTTGTGATCTACTTGCAGACGAAGTGAGGCCCCTCCTCATGCCGTGTTGCTTACGACAGTAGCAAATTTTCGCCGATTCTTGTACAATCGGGACCTAATTATTGAACTATCTCCTTCAGGATCAGGGTCAGCCGTCACGTTGGACCGATTTCGAAAATTTTACGACCCCCTCCCCCTTCTAGAGGGCCTCGATACGACCCCCCTCAGGGTCAACCCTTCACCACCCTCGCCTGCCATCGCCATCATGGGGCTCATTCTATAGTATTCGATTCTGAGACCAGTCGAAACATCCTCTCACTTCACCTCTATTTCACCAACACTTCCGCTGCAACATTACCTAAGGTGAACCCTTTTTCCCATCCCAAATACGACCCCCCGCCCACCCCTCGTTGGACTTTCCCCAACGCACGGTTGACCATATTCAGCTCCATGAAGTCAGTTTCATAAAGGAATTAATTATTTCCTAAAATTTTTAGATCAATTGACTTTGGATATTATGATAATGCCGAGTCTATTTCAATCTAGTGTAGAATTTTTCATTGTTAAACCTCATCTGGACTTATGCATTTAGTTTTTGTATTTAAAGTAGTATAACTAAAAATCAAATGAGACT